CCCCAAAACCCCAAAACCCCAAAACCCCATAAGAATAAATTTAATGTAAAAAGAAGTGAGTTATGTAAATTAATTATAAATTAATCATATGAAAGATCATTCAAATGTCATCTTGATTTCTTCCTTTATACTCTTATTAAAATTAATTGATAAGATATTTCGATATATTTAGCTTCAACTAGGATTTAATGCTTCAGTCACTGAATACCAGCCTTTTTAAATAGGGTTTCACTTTCAAGATTTTCTCTAATATTAAAATTTTCGTATTAAAGACTTGATGCATTTGAAAAGGAGTTAGAATTCTCAGTTTCATCATCCTCGTAGTTTTCGATAAATAGAGAATCTTCGTCATCTCCATCGTCTATTTCATTTGTCTACTCATAATACACAGTCAAATCTTTATATAGAGAAATTCGATCCTTTTTTACTTCAGATAACTTATTGTTACTGTCAGCTGTTGAAGCTGAATTACCACTTATTCTTTGATCATTTTCATTTTGCTTTTCAGAGGTTGATTCTCTTTTTATATTACCCCCAGTTTGGATTTTAGCCTTTTTCTTACTATAATCATTTTTTCCAAAGAGGTAAAATAAGCACATGATCAAAATTCCATTAATAAAATCAGTTCCTTCATAGACTAATAGCATTTAGCCAGCCATAAAACTGTAAATATTATACTTTGTCAAAAAGAAGGTAGTAAAGTATTTGTTGATTGCAATTGCAAAAAAGATGTCTTTTAAGATTAATCTAAATATGTACATTATGATGAAACTGATTATTGCAAAATATGACTAAAATATCTTGTAAATTTAAACTAGATCTTACAAAGACAATATTAAACTAAGCTATCCAGGATTTCTATAGTTTTACTATTTTCTTCTTCATTTTTTGCTTCAATTCCATTTTTATATTGTGAAACTACCACATAAATAGGAAGAAAAGTATCAGAAAAAATGTATCAATTAAAATTTTAAGCGCTTAGAAGAACCTATTAAAATAAAGAGATATGAAATTAAGGATAAAAAGTATTATTGTAAAACTTCTTCAGAGCATTTATAGTTATACTTACGTGAGCAGATAATATACGAAAGAGTTATCTGTCCAAACTGTTATTTTTTCAAGAATCGCATCAATATAATAGTAATATTGAATTACATTTACAGTGATAACAAATAGACTTATATAGAAAACCAAGTAGATGAACATAAGTAAGCTGATGCATTTTCTAACTAGTTTTCTTTGATAGCTTGATTTTTACTCCCTCATTAATAGCACTGTAATCCTAAATTATTTATATTGAAAAAGGTACATTTTGAAGACAAAAATATGCAAGAGACAAAAATATAATTGGCTTATAGCACTTCCAACCATAAGAGTAAATGACTACTGCTAAAGAGTCTCAAAAGATGAGCTTTTTCCTTGGTAAAATACATAATTAGCAGCTCTAGTGATGACTTTACCTGTATAAATAAATTGTTTCTAAGCTAAAAAGAACTTACATGATTGGCCAAACATTTATGTGAAAAGAATAATTATGGAAAATCTATCCAACATGTCTTTAAATTTACTCATATATAATATTGAAACGCAGATAAAGATAACAGTTAAAACTGTGCATAAAATTAGATGGTCTCCATAATCCATTTTAAATAAATTTGCAAAAAATTTAATAAATTAAAGCTATTAATTTATATCAATATCTATCTTACTCTCTAATTAATATAATACTTCTTGGGGTTTTGGGGTTTTGGGGTTTTGGGG